TGGGGTGGGTTGGGTGGGTAACAGGACCCCCGTTGATACCAGTGTTTACTACACTGAAGGGGCTATCCTGTATAAATATAGATGTCTGTCTGTCTGAAAGAAAAACAATAAACCACACCATCATCTTTAATTTTTATATGGGTATTTAAAAGAAGAATTGTTGGTGTCCTTGAGATCTTCAAGAGAAAGGACTAGCGCTGAACAAACTCTAGTAGGACTTTTCTGTCCACTTCCTGTAATCTGATTGGTTAATTTTGCTAAACCCTTTCACTCCCATTATCTCAGTCATTTATTCAGCAATTCTCCTTACTGTCTGCCAAACAGTTCTTATGATTGGAGAATATTTTGGTATTGGATCACCTTATAATCCTCTAACAGTACTATAGTTTTCTTTATTCTCATCCTTTGTCTGTTTGAATATTGTACTGGCATTGTTAAGAGAAATTCTGTCTTGGTCACTTCCGTGAGTGAAAGGGTTAAGCATATGTTTACAGTGGGGGGAGGGGGGGAGGCCAGGTTGGGTGTGGTGCACCCCCAGGGTATTGAGATGACACAATTTTATTTTAAGTTAAACATTGGAGAATGTACTAAACACAAATTAATATACTTTTTTTTTTTTTTCTCAAAGCAGAAGTGCAAATCAATTATTCACAGCCTTAAGTGTAAGATAATAATGACTTTGACTAAAGGCAACTCAGATTTTGGAAAAATGATTTTTCCAGTGTCATTTTAAAATGTTGATTGATCCTGGTTGTTTACAGGAACTTAACAAAGATTGCTTCAGTTTCCTTTAAGGCCAGAACTCACAAGTTAGTAAGTCCCTTGAAGAGACCCATTGCAAAAAAAAAAAGGACACTATCTAGTGGGTTCTGCTTCCAAAACCTGTCACTGGAATTCATTACATTGCTGTGATCACTGAAAAAAATTGACACCATTTTGAATTTCTTTGACTACTTGTGATGATGAAGATCTCACAATAACTCTTGACATTACATAGAGCACATGGCTGCTGTTACATGTCTTGTTATACATCAAAACAACTTGTTACCTACTGAGTTATTAGTTCATGTCTATCTAGAGTCTTACCTCCTTGTGTCCTGCCACCTGCGACATTACCATCTTTTGTAACACTATAGCCAACATCTTTATGTTGGCGTGGACTAATTGCGTCTCCAGCTGGAGGCAGTGAAGGGAGAAGTAGTTCCTGTTTTCCATGTTACTGATGTCCGTCTCTTGTTCAACGATTTTGGATTCCAGCTGATCGACAGCATGATCCTGACCTTTTGCCTGTGCAGCAATCTGCCGCTTTTTGATCTGCTGCATTTTCTGGAGTGAGTGTTGGTGATCTTTTAACACTCCCTTTTCATGTCTTTCACAAAGTTCCTAGTGTAAGAAATAATATCAAGAGAAGTCATTTTATTTGATGCACGCTTATCTGTAACATGGGTTATTTCAAAGCTTTGTACAGTTAAACACTCCTTATGGACATCTCTCCATCAGCTAAACATTTGCTGTATTCCCATGCACAGATGCACAGTCCTAGCAAAAGTTAACTGCCACTTTCAAACCCTAGCAACAAACTAACTCCTCTAATAAGCCAGCACTTCTCATCTCAGAGATTTCGGTTTTCTTCTACAATAGGGCAATTTTCTATGGGCAAAAGTGTCCATGATATAGCTTCTTCAAGCCACATATGTCCAGAAAACCATGCAGTAACAAAAAAAATGGCAAAATTTCAAACCAAGAGAACGTTCATGGATTTGATGATTTTGGCAAATTTTAGTCACATTCATCAAGGCAAAATAAGCTTGGGAGAACTGATGATTTTTACCAATATTAATCAAATTCATAAAAGTGAAATCAGCTTGGGGGATTGGTTGAATTTGACAAAATTTTGCCATTTTCATTGTTACATGCATTTCTGGACTTCAAGCATCCTGGGAATGACTTGCATTGCAAAACTTCTTTTACCTCTTTTACTCCAAGGAGTCATAGGAGGCATTGCAAAACTTCTTTTACCTCTTTTACTCCCAGGAGTCATCAATGAATAATTAACAAACCAACAGTGGTTTAGGGAGGGCTGTACTCTTATGGACCACATTATTTGTCATCACAGTGGTCAAAATGTTGTGGACAAACTGACTATATAATATAACTAAATCAAAGCGCACGCTCTGATTGGTCAATTTAGTGTCCCCCATTTGCCCATGGGTGTATGCTGCTGACGTGAGCACATGCAAAGACTATTTTTCTGTACCCACTTGTTTTTTCTGGTCAAGTAAGATTTGTCAAATAAAAGGGAACTCCTTAGCTTCAATGTATCAATGTTATGTTATAAAACAAATGGTAAACACCACAGCGTACACTACTGAGTTATGGATGCACTTGGGAGGTTTGCTAAGCACTCAAGAAGCTAGAGTTGCTCTTGGCTATTGCCTCGTGCAACTCTTACGCTTCTTTCGTGCTTAGCAACCTCCCGCGTGCATCCATAACTCAATAGTGTACGCTGTGGTGTTTACCATTTGTTAAGTGTCAAGTGAGTTTGCAACAAATTTTGACCACTGAATTGACCAATACCTTTGTCAATAAAGGTATTGACAATGTAAAGACCCCACTAACCTACTGTCGATTTGTACCACACGTCAACAAGGTCATATAAAACAAGTCTTTCTGTGTGTGACACAATGAGTGACACACTGATGTGAGCAGCATAGTCTGTATTCTTATTGATAATAGCAAATTGGCCAATCAGATTGCAACATAACTGCCAATTGTGGTGAAATTTCTCCTAACACTTTAAACACATTGTCAAACAAGAAGGCAATAAGAAGAAAGTGAAAGATCAACATGGTGATATAGCTTGATTGAACACCAAATTCTCAGATCTACATTTACATAAAATGCAAGTCAGACAGAAAGGAGAGAGTGAAATGATTGTACACCTTAACCCTTAATATAACTGTAGGCCATTTTACAGTTGTGTACTTAGTTTCCAAGCCTTTGATTAGGAGTGAGGCTGAAGGTGACCTTGTTGTGATAGAGACCTATATCTAGTTAGCATGATAACAAAGTAATTTACATTTGAAAAGCAGTCATGTTTGCATCATAACATGGTCACCCTTAGCCTCACTCCTGGCAACCAACCACAACTGTAAAGCGGACTATAGGGGTTATCCAAACTTACCCGATAGCTTGAGGTTAAGTCCAAGAAGAGAGCCAAGTACTGAGCAGCACCCGTATCTTCTCTTTTAAACTGGGAAAGAGAAAAAATTAATTAAAAAAAAAAAGTCCAATCTTATTTGCCAAATGCCTTTTTGGGGAAGGTTAGACCTTTTTGTTAATCATAGCCAAGACACTATTGTGTCATGGCAAAAAATAAAATGATCTTTTTATTGTGTGCAAGATATAACCTGGGAATTCACATTTCGTCCTCCTAATATGCACATGAAAAACTTTTCAGTAGTTGTTTAGAGGGCAAGGGTAGATGTTGAAGTACATGAATTACTTCTAGTTTTTTTTTTCTCTTTTGTTCTAGATACATCGACACAATCCTTCAACAAAGGTGGACAAAACTCAAGCCAGTTTGAAATCACTTAAATAAGAAATCATTCACAATGACTAACCCAAACAGCTCCTCTCTCTGAGAGCTTGGTAAAATAAGGTGTAATTCCAGTAAAGCTGTGTTTAAGGTTTCCCCAGGAGTTATCACTACCACTTGCCCATACAGTTGTCGGGTGTGACTCATTGGTTAATGCTCTGTGTAGATAATGACAAAAGATAGGTAATTACTCATCTGTTAATTCACAAATGACTGACTGACTATTGGTAATGTTAAATCAAAACTTGAATAAACAACAATTTGTATCATAAAAATTTCTCAGAGCACTTAGGTACTTAGAAAACATCTGTTTTCAAATTTTCTCATGATGATTGCGATTGTGTTTACTATGATGACAAACCTACATAACCACAACTAAAATAAATGAATTACAGTCATGATACAAATTACAAAACTCAATTGAATACATAAGAACAAAATGCCTGGAGGTACTGACTCTTCCAAAGTACAGAAATTAAGGTTAGCGAAAAATGAAGACATACAAGAAAAAAAGTACAAAAAATGGAATATTTTGTCTGGTTACCCACATAATAATGGTCCCAGCCAATGGGTCTTAACTCCAGTGACAAGCACAAGTTCATAGCTAACAAGCACATAACTTGACCATGGCAACACTAGTAAGAGTAAATTTTTAACATGGTCTGCCACAGGCATCCCAATCGTTGCACTAAATGGAGTGTTTACATTCCATTCAGTTCAGGTAAGACAGCAATGAAGGTGTAAACAAATGAAATAAATAAATAACAATCTTCTGACAACATTAAAAAACATTTTGCAGAAAGAAGTAGTGCTTTACAGCCAGAAAAATCGTGTTCACAGCCGGGTAATTTTCCTGGCTTCCGGCTATTATCTACATCCCTGAATACCCTAACATTTTGGTAATGTTTTGGCAGGTTATTTTTCCATAATATACTAATACAATTTTTTTTATGACCAATTAAAACAGAGACTGTAATGAAAGGAATTCTAAAACTTTCTGGGCAGGAATGAGTATCGAGTAACAAGTATAACATACAGATTGAAGGAGTATTCCTTGGTATTTACATCTCATGATATGCTTCCTTAAAAATTGTTCACTGACAAAGATGTTTTGCCTTGAGAGACAGTGACTTACGTCAGCTCCTTTGCAAACTGAAGCATGTCAGATGAAAATCCTGTTTACAAAGTAAAAAATAACAAATTAATTCAAAATAATTATCTGTTACCTTCATATTTTTGTATCAAAGTATACACTGTCTACTGTTTGAAATATGTTACCCTTTATTTCTGCAAGCCAATTAGCTTTGGCAGCAAGAAATACCTTTTCATATTTCTTGATGAATTAGTTGTATTTTTCTTTTGATTTCAATCAACTATATCAAATTATTTTTTTTGCCAGAAAAACAATTCACTGGTTGAAGCATTGATTTCAAATTATACTCCTAAAAACTGAAGAATCAATCAATAGAAAGAGGACTAACCTAGTGCTCTCGCTATCATTCTATCAGCAACATCTTTTAGTTTCTCCACACTGTTGTGAATGGCCTGAATTTGTAGGCGGCTGGTTTGAAAACTGGCTTGTGTATCCATAGGAACTAGTTCCTATGAGACAAACACAAAAAGTAATTTTAACAAAAACATTGCGAGAAATATTTTAAGATTTTTTATTACAAGTTACTCAAAGAAAAAAAATAATCAGCTCCTTGTTATAGATTATACTTGAGGAATAAAACAAACAAACAAACAAACAAACAAAGAAACACGAATCTTTCACTCCCAAGAGTGACCAGTTACATGTTCTTCCCAAGCAATATCAACTTACATAAGAATGGTGATGAGAAAAAGTAAAATATCACCTAACCAAAGATATTTGACTTACCATCAAGTTCTCAAGGCTAAAATTGATATTGTGATCTCGTACCTTAGCTTTGGAGGCAAGGGGACTACTCATAAATTCATCTGGCATTGATTTATACTGGTCCTTTAACTTCTGACCTATGTCCTACAAGAAATAAAACCCACGTCCTCAACAACGCATATTATAATCTTTATTAAACACTCAGTTGAATGTTAAATAGGAGAAAACAACCAATAAAAAATAATGCAATTGTATCAATTAACAGAAAGGCAAGGCCAAGTGGGATAATATTTAGCTTGTGGTCTATACATTCAACACTTTCTCTTTGTTTTTGAGGTACAAAATAGCAGAATAATAGATGGAAACCAACAGAAACAGAAATGAAAGATATTTGTAAAGTGAAAGATGGATGCTACAACCATAAATCCCTAACTCTGTTGCAAAAGGAGTATTCTATATTTAGAATTCAACAAGACAACTTACTGAGCCCTTGACTGTAAGGAAAAAGTTTACAATCTTGTCCTCGCAAAGCACAGGATGCCTTACAACAAGAGTTAGAAACCGCTTTAGGGATCTTTTTCTGGCCTCAATAAACTCTTTGCTGGCTGCAAATAAATAAACAAATATGACTTCAGGCAGCCAGCTTAAATGGGCACTGACAATTAAATCATCCAAATTCAACAAACTCAGTTATAAGAACAATTTGAGAGTCAAAAGCACTTAAGTATTCAACTGACTTTGCTGTACTCTGCAGGGTGGTTGGTCAAGAAAACTCAAGCCATTTTCTCAACAAATTGGATGCAAAAATAAATAATAATCTTGGTCTCTCACATTTCCCTGCACTTTGTGCAGTTGGCTTGTTTTCATAATGAGTTCTCATTAGCTCCTTGCTATATCTTCCTCTCTTTTAATTGGCCATGTTGTTTACCTTGGTTTTCCCTTTCAGACACTCTGTTGAAAGGTTAGGGAGTTAAAACCTAGAATAACCCTATGCCTTCTCCCTCCCACTCACCCCTGGAAGAAAAATAATTCCACTTAGCAGCCTACACTCCAGCCTCCCAAATAGCCACACACTGTAGATCACTTGACTATTGTAGACCTCTGAATTGTGGGTCTTACAGGCTGACCACTCTAAAATCTCTAGGTTTCAAGTCCCACTGGCTGCCCACTCAAAACCTGATGACTCCCCAGTTGCATTTAAAGAGCTGAACAAGTGACCACCATGGACTAAGTGACTAACATGAGTGTCTGATGAGCTTAGACCATCTGCCCACTTAAGACCTCTGATTAAAGAGCCAGATAGACTGACCAAGAATGTGGTCTAATGGAGAGACAACTTGGTCCTTTGCTTATCCCCACCCCCTCCCTCACATTTCGTCCTCCTAATATGCACATGAAAAACTTTTCAGTAGTTGTTTAGAGGGCAAGGGTAGATGTTGAAGTTCAGTAATGGTCTAGCATAACTCGGCATTTATTACTCCAAAGATAATTTAATTATGGAATTACTGAATGTAAACATACCACCCATAAGCTTCTTCGGAGGCAGTGTCGGAATAAGACGGTATGGGAACCTTGCTAGTAACATGTCATGGAAAGCAACAAAGTCATTGTAGCGACGATTAACAGTACAGTTATGTTTCTGAAAAGATGAACAAAGAAGAAAGTTTTATTTGACTTGATATATTAAGTCCTTGACGATAAAAACTTGTGACAAAATGTTGCTTGATAACATTGTAAAATTTAAAACGATAAAAAGCAAAAGAAAGCTAAACTTGACGACGTTTCAACATTAACATAATGTCATTATCAAGTCAAGAATGTATAAAAATAAGTTATATAAATACTAAAAACGAACAATAAGAGAAAGTAATTTGCAGGTTAAACAAAAAGTTTAGCATGTATGGAGTCCGTTTGCACGTTCAGATTAGGTTTGAATGTCTTAATATAAAGCATTTCAAACAATAAACAATCAAATTTGCTTTGACACTTTCTCAGAAACTTTAAATGACTATCATTCAAACGATCCCTCCTACCATGCGCTTCATGAAAGTGATTGCCAATTGCCAAATTTTTGTGTTCACCAACACATTGAACAAGACACGCTAAGTGATTTTCCTTTCCCAGCTCTATGATTCAAATTTAATTTTAAATTCAACTGGAATAACAATACTTACTAATTTGTGATAAACAATATGAAAGAACACATGCCAGATTATAACTAAAAACAAGTGTCTGCACCTCCTACCAATTAATTTTTATTAGCTATTGGTCAATCTATTTGGGTGCTTAAAGAAAAAACCCTTAGCCCTGTTTACAGGGGGCCTCACACTTCCTATAAAACCTGTCATTGCCGTCTGATTAGTGTGCCAGCACCCTTTTAGATGTCTAGAATGCTGGAAGTTAGGTTTCTAAATATTTCAAATTTTTCCCTTATGTCCTCTTTACAGGAACAGCTGCCTGCCAAACACTTCGAAGCTGCCTTAGTATGGAAAAAGCTATTGAAACCCCTGAGCTTTACCATTCTTTTATTTAAATCTGACTAGCTTATTATTACAAACAAATCTCAATGCATGACCATAGTAACACCAATACTGCAACCAAATTAGCAAGCTCTGGTTGACAACTGTACTATTTGAGCAGAACTAGCCATTTCATCCACATTGCTAAGAAAACTTCGGCAAGGAAAGCAATTTTCAAGCAGGAAAGTGACAAAATGGAATAAATGCATCAATTAGGAGATATCACTTCATTTAACACCAAATTCTCCGAGCTAGATTTGTAAGAAATGTATCACAGACAGTGCAAATGATTCATGTTTTGATGTTACAATTCAAGTGAATGGTTTTAAGTTAAGAGTTTCTGTAGTACATCAGGTTCTAATGTAACTTAGCAAGTAGAACTACCCAATTTAACATTTGCAATCCTTGATAGACATTTTTTATTTGGCCTCTCACCTTGCTAGAAACATGATACTCATTGTGCTTCAAGATAATTCCTTTCTTTTCTGGTACAAGCTCTACCTCTACTGTATCAAGACTCACAAGTTCATCATAGTTATAACCCAAAACATTTGGGTTGTTTTCACGTCTTTGACGCACACTCAGACTTTTCAGATCTGACAGGTCCCCCAATGAAGGTTTTGGCAATTCTGTAATACATTAATAGCAATCATTATAAATAAAAATCAACTTTGGTAGTAAGTTTCTTGGTAAGTTTCAAAGGTGCTCACAATCAATTGTTCAACCTTTCACAATTGAAATTCAACATTGTAGGTCTCCCTAACTTTAAGGATTGAGTTGCTATTTAAAAGTTTTTTTTTTTCAAATGTCTTATGACTGACCATTCTTTTAGCATTGAAGTAGTTTTTTCTAAAACTCTCCCACGGGAAAATGTCAAATAATCATACCTGAATCCACAAATTGTTCTAATGCTCTTTCCGATATACTTTTTCCCTGCTGTGCCAGAGCAGTTAAGGCCAGTGCTTTGTATAATCCATCTCTTGTAACATATCCATCTTGTCTCGGATCAACAGCTTCCCAAATCTGAACCAAAAGAAAAAAAGATTCAGAAAAAGAGCCTTTCTATAATCAAGAAATAGATAGATATTCTAGTCTTCTCTGATAAGGACAAATAAACCGTAGGCCCCGTCTCCTGCAGGGTTAGGGGTAGGAGATGTTAATTTCCCACATACAAGATTACTGTGTGGTGGATGTCCTTCCCTAGGTGGGATGGGTGGGTATTGGCCCTGAGCCCCTCTGGGGAGTGGTAAATTAACCTATGTATGTATTGNGCTTGGGTGCTTCTCAATTCCATTTTCTTCCATTTTTGTTAGACACAGCTGCTCTACTATAATAGTGGGTCGGAAGTTTGACAGACTCAAAAAGGTACTTAATTGAAAAGAGGTATACAAACTAACTGTACATGTTCTAGTTATAATTACAAATCAGTATAATAATAAATTTTTAAAAGTCCCCCCGTTCAAACTAGGTACAGGACAGGATGGAAAATGCGTGCACTGTAAGTACCTCCTGTTGTCCCACACTAAGCCTTAGAAAAGTTTTCTAAGGCTTTGTATGGGACTATGAGAGGTACTTACAGTGCATCCATTTTCCATCCTGTCATGTTTGGTTCTACCAATTAAGTTGAAATTGTAAATTGGCCACCGTAAAGAGTTGAAAAGATGATGTTTTGAGCATTAGCCCTTCTTTGCTTTGACCAAGCACTAACTGCTCAAAACATCAGCTTTTTAAATCTTTATGGTGGCTAATTTACAATATCAACTTAGTTGATAAAGCCAAATTACCTTGTTACCCCTACCGACCCTTTTCCCCATTCAAAGAAGCTTACAACTGAATACAGCCAGTCTGGTTAAATATTGCCAAGAATGGAATGAATAAATGAAAAATTGATCAATGTTAAAGTTCATAGGGAGATGTCTAAGGTAGCTATCACTTGTCATAAGCTCTCCACTGGAGTTACAACTACACCACTCCAAGCTGCAACCATTTGGTCACCATGCAGAATCCCAACCTCATTCCCAGGGTCTCTCATCTTCCCGCCACCTGGAGCGAGTGAGGAGAGAAGATGAAAAATGAAAGATTTACCGTATCCCGTCAGTAAAACGGCCACAACATCTCTTCCCGAATATATTGCTTCTAAACACTGGACTTGTTTGGGTTTTAAATTGGGGTTACAATACCTTCTCCGAGATATAGCTACTTGAAGGCTGCTATAAAACATGGCGACCCAAACAACGATAACGTTTGAAAGTGACAAATCAAACGTGACAAAAATTGAGTGAACAGCCTACTCATCCCTAAGGAATTTTTGTGCTCTGTAAACACGTGACCAGCCTAAACCAAGGTCTCTCCTCACTCGCTCCAGGGGGTGGGAAGATGAGAGACCCTGGGAACAAGGTTGGCAGAATCCAAAAAAAAATTGTGATCTGTGAATTAGGGTATATGAAGACTGTACATGTATACTGTGGTTGTAAGAAATGTATGAAAGTGATCCTCTCAGTATTGAACACTACTTATGTAGTAGTGAAAATAAGGCCTGAAAAAAATTTTGAACATGAACCAGTATAATGACCAGCTCCCAGCACCGGTATCACAGAGGTCAAGGGTTCAAACCATGTA